AGAGAGAGAGAGAGAACTATGTGGTCCCTCTCAAATCATACCACATTGATAGTTAGATGCTAACTGTAGAACAGATAAGTCCAGCTTATATTTTAAGCAACAGAATGTTGGCTTGATGTGTTTGGGCATCTGTATAAAATGGTTTATGAGTTTCCTAGAAACATCGCCAAAGGCAAGGGAAGCAAGGGCAAAAATGAACTCTTGGGATTTCATCAAGATAAAAAGCTTTTGCACAACAAAAGAAACAGTCCACAAAACCAAAAGACAACAGACAGAATGGGAGAAAATATTTGCAAATGACATATCCGATAAAGGGCTAGTATCCAAAATCTATAAAGAACTTATCAAACTCAACACCCAAAGAACAAATAATCCAATCAAGAAATGGGCAGAAGACATGAACTGACATTTTTCCAAAGAAGACATCCAAATGGCCAACAGACACATGAAAAAGTGCTCCACATCGCTCGGCATCAGGGAAATCCAAATCAAAACCTCATGAGATACCACCTCACACCAGTCAGAATGGCTAAAATGAACAAGTCAGGAAACGACAGATGTTGGCGGGGATGCGGAGAAAGGGGAACCCTCCTACACTGTTGGTGGGAATGCAAGCTGGTGCAACCACTCTGGAAAACAGTATGGAGGTTCCTCAAACAGTTGAAAGTAGAGCTACCATAAGATCCAGCAATTGCACTACTGGTTATTTACCCCAAAGATACAAATGTAGGGATCCGAAGGGGTACGTGCACCCCGATGTTTATAGCAGCAACGTCCACAATAGCCAAACTGTGGAAAGAGCCAAGATGTCCATCGACAGATGAATGGATAAAGAAGATGTGGTATATATACACAATGGAATATTGTGCAGCCATCAAAAGGAATGAGATCTTGCCATTTGCAATGACGTGGATGGAACTGGAGGGTGTTATGCTGAGTGAAATAAGTCAATCAGAGAAAGACATGTATCCTATGACCTCACTGATATGAGAATTTCTTAATCTCAGAAAACAAACTGGGGGTTGCTGGAGTGGCGGGGGGTGGGAGGGAGGGGGTGGCTGGGTGATAGACATTGGGGAGGGTATGTGCTATGGTGAGCGCTGTGAATTGTGCAAGACTGTTGAATCACAGATCTGTACTTCTGAAACAAATAATGCAACATATGTTAAGAAAAAAGAAAAAGAAGAAGATAGCAGGAGGGGAAGAATGAAGGGGAGTAAATCAGAGGGGGAGACGAACCATGAGAGACGATGGACTCTGAAAAACAAACTGAGGGTTTTAGAGGGGAGGGGGATGGGGGGATGGGTTAGTCTGGTGATGGGTATTAAAGAGGGCAAATTCTGTGTGGGGCACTGGGTGTTATGCACAAGCAATGAATCATGGAACACTACATCAAGAACTAATGATGTAATGTATGGTGATTAACATAACAATAAAAAATTTTAAAAAATGTTTTATGAGGGAAAATGGTCTCTCAAGTAATCCAGTGGAATCAAAGATACACCGCTAATCCTGCTTCGACTAACACCCACAACAGTTTCCTGACTCGTCATTAAAACACCCTACATGAGGACTAGGAGTAGAGCATCCTGTGCTAGGTACAAATAACGGGAGTACGTACGAAGCACAGAGTTGTTACAGAGGAAGGGGTGAATTCTGTGGTGGATTCAGAGGCAACCAGAGAAAGCAACTGGGAAAATAGTATCAAAGCACAGATTGGGCAAGATAAATAAGACCCCTTCTGAGAGATGGACAAAGAAGATGGTTTGAGTTTATGTGTTTAGTTTTTAATGGGTATTAATATGCATGAAGATTGTTTCCCTTTTTTAACAGGTGTTGTGGTTGACGATATGTTCATAATGATTTCTGCCTGGCAGAAGACTAGCCTCGTGGATAACACAAAACAGCGGCTGTCCAGTGTCTATTCCAAAGTGGCGGTGTCGATTACAATCACCACCATCACCAACGTCCTAGCCCTCTATACAGGGATTATGACCTCTTTCAGGTCCCTACAATACTTTTGCATCTATACGGGAACAACCCTGCTCTTTTCTTATTTCGATAACATCACCTGTTTCGGAGCATTTATGGCTCTGGATGGTAACAGAGAAGGAGTCTGTCTATGCTGGTTGAAAAAGCCAGAAACTCCTGACCAAAAATGTTCCTCACTGAAAAGGTCCTGCTGTCTCCCATGTGATTCTCTCCCGGATGAACAAGAAACTGATATCCATCCGATGAATTTGTTCTTTCGAGACTGTTTTGGCCCTTTTCTCACAAGCACTGAGTCCAGAGTTTTTGTAGTGCTTATATACATTTTGTACATCATAAGTAGTATCTGTGGGTGTTTCCAAGTGCAGGAAGGTTTAGACCTTCGAAATTTGGCAAGTGACGATTCCTATATCACACCATGTTTTAATGTAGAAGAGGATATTTTTTGGATTATGGTCCCAGGGTTATGGTTGTTGTTACTGAAACTCTTGACTACTGGGATAAAGATGCTAGGCAAAAAACTGGAACTACGTCTGGCAGATTTGGAAAACAGTGACTATGTAGATAAAAATCCCACAGAGGTTTGGTTACGAGAGTATGTGCAGTATATGGAAAAGAGCAAGCAAGATGTAAATGATAAGGACACTTTTATGAACGGCTTGCCCAATTTTTTAACACGTTTTCCACTTTTTGTGTCTGATACTAATATTTCATCGTCACATGAAATCATTTCTTCCCAGGGCTTCGTTCAGACCATGGGTGTTTCTTCTTCAGCCGATGAGAAGAAGGTGTTATCCCAGTTACGAAGCAGAGCTGAAAAGTGCGAAATCCCCCTAATGGTGTATAACCAGGCATTTGTATATTTTGATCAGTATACCCCCGTATTGGAAAACACTGTTTGAAATGTCATTGTTGCATCAACCGCTATGTTCGTTGTTTCCTTATTGTTAATTCCTCATCCACTGTGTTCCTTGTGGGTAACTTATGCTACTGCATCTGCGATTGTGGGAGTAACGGGTCTCCTGGCATTCTGGAATGTCAGTCTCGATTCCATATCCATGGTTAATCTTGTCATTTGCATAGGGTTTTCTTTCGATTTTTCTGCACACATTTCTTAGGCATTTGTTTCCAGCTCTAAGCTGTCAGTAAACCGAAAAGCAATTGAGGCAGTGTATGGGCTAGGCTACCCACTGTTACAAAGTGCACTTTCAACAGTAATAGGGGTGTGTGTTTTATCTGCAGCTAAGGCATACATCTTCAGGACATTTTTTAAGATGATGTTTCTTGTTATGGTATTTGGGGCTGCTCATGGCCTAATTTTTATTCCAGTATTCTTAACCTTTTTTTTGAAGGTCTGTTTGAATATCCACTAACAAATCAAAGACCAATTATAAAATTCCTGATTGTCACACTCCAATCTGATAACAGGGCACTATTAGAAATAGTCAATAAACTAAAAACAAAGGCATGTTTCCTTGGCTTGGAAATCCCATTTAAATTATTATTGAAAATATCCTGGAAAAATCAATTAGGCTTACATTAAAATATCTTTACTAAATTAGGAAGTGTTGTCATCTTTATTACGGTCTATACAATCATTCATAAGGTATGACTTTCCAATTATTTTTTCCTTTTGTTTCGTTGTTAGAAGTTTCTGCCTGAAATTCAAATATTTTATGCATTATAATATAAATGGAATATTATTTTCATTGAACTTCCTAGATCATTAATATGTAAATGTATAACTTATTATTTATTCTCCCAGTCTGGGGGCTTTGTATGCATTTTCTTAACAGTGTATCTTGATAAAATGAAATTTTTAAAGTTTTGAAATCCAATTTATCATTTATCATAAAAAAAATGGTCAGTGTTTTCTGTGTCCTCTCTAAGAAGTCTTTGCCTATTCCAAGATTACAAAAAAATCCAACTATGATTTCTTCTCAGAGCTCATAATTCTAATTTTACATTCAGGTCTATGATCCATAGATCTGTATTTGTTGAGACATGTGGATAGAAGTTCGTTATCTTCCCATAATAGTTACCCATTCAGTTTTCCAGCATCATTAGTAAGAAGACTACATTTTCAGCGTAGGATTAATTTGGCACCTCTGTCAAAGAATCAGCTGACAGTTTATGTGTGGCTCTATTTCTGGGCATTGATCTGTTTGTCTATCCTAAAGCCAATACCACAGTGCCTTGATTATTGAACCTTTATATTAAATCTTGAAATTAGGTTGTATAATGGGTCCAGCATTTTTCTTTTCCAAATTATTTTGGCTAGTCTTGGTTCTTCCCATTTAGATACTAATTTTAGAATCACTTGTCAATTTATCAGAAAGCCTTCTGGGTTCATGACTCGGTTATAGTGAATTACAGATCAATTGGGGGAAAATAGGTATCTTAGCCATTTGGAATCTTCTAATCTGTGAACATGGTTTACCTTTCCATTTATTTGTGTCTTCCTTAATTTCCCTCAGGAATATCTTATAGGTTCAGGTTGATTTACTTTCCAAGTATTTTTATCTTTATGGCATTGTAAATAAATTTGAATTCCTTTTCCATTTTGTTTTTACTACTACATAAAAATACAATTGATTTCAACATACCTAAATTATACTGTGTAACCTTATTAGGTTCATTTATCAGTTCTTGTAGATCCTTGTAGTTTCTTTAGCAGGTTTTATCTGACCTTGTAGAGTATATATGTTGAGTACTAAATTTCCTTGCTTCCTTTATTTTATTTTATTTTATTTTATTTTATTTTATTTTATTTTATTTTTTAGAGACTTTATTTATTTATTTGACAGAGAGAGACACAGCGAGAGAGGGAACCCAAGCAGGGGGAGTGGGAGAGGCAGAAGCAGGCTTCCCGCCGAGCAGGGAGCCCGATGTGGGGCTCGATCCCAGGACCCTGGGATCATGACCTGAGCCGAAGGCAGACACTTAACGACCGAGCCACCCAGGCGCCCCTCTTTGCTTCCTTTAAATACTATTGGACTTTGATCTGACAGGAAGTTGTTTCTATAGCAGGTTGATCCTCTCAAGACTTGTTTATAAGCCTTGTTAGGGCAAGTCTAGAGTAGACTTTAGTCCCAGGGCTAGTTGTGCCATAGTATGAGGCAAAACTCTCTGGAGTTTCTCCTGACAGCCCCAGGGCGGACTCTGCAGTCTGGCTGTTCAAAATTTAACCGTCCCCCAGCTCTGGATTAGCTTGGGCAACTTTTTAGCATCTATTTCTCTAATTATGTTTTGCCTAAGCTCGTGGAGTTTTATCCATGCATGCGTGGTTAAGTATTTAGGGACAGACTCTGGCCAGGCTTTGCCTGACTTCAAAGAACTTCATCGTCCACATATGTGACTGGGGATTTGAGGACAAACTGCAAGGAACCCCGTGCACATTTCTGAGGCACTTTATCGCTAGAGCTCTCTCTTCCCTGGCACTCAGCCTCACATATTTCGGCCACCTCATCCCCGCTAAACTCTGCTTGGTCTCCTCGACTTAGAGAAAATGCTATGCTTTGCTTAGATTCTCCTTCCCGGGCTGCAGTCTGGAAAATGTCTCTGAGGAGGTCAGAGAACTGGGTTCTATGGTTCACCTCATTTGTTTCCTTTTTTCCAGGGATCATAGTCCTCCACTGTTTATTGCCCGGTTTCTGAAGACAGTTGCTCAACACATTTTGTCTTGTTATTTCCAATAAGAGGACAGTCTTTCAATTATCTCATTGGAGCTGGAAACAAGTCCCCTATCTTTTTTCCTATTTATGTCATTCATTTTGCTATCTAAGTTTACAGTTTGGGTTCACTCTAGTTCATCTCCTTGAAGTAAGCTTTGAAGTAAATTAATTACATGGGACTTCAATATATCTGGAAAATCCCTTTTCTCTCTCAATAAATTAATAGCCATATAATGCGAAAATGATCTTACAATTCCCTTGATTGTCTCTTAAACTTTCTAAAATAACAACGAAAAGACTTTGCTTTAACAAAGTAAATAGGTTTTCAAGGAAATTGCAAAAGAGACTGATACATATCCTATGCCAATTGCCCAGGAAGTTCAGAAAAATTCTTCCATATAACACTTTTGCCTTCAAATTCCAAAGAATACATCACCACTATAAATAATATCCTTTTATGCTGCAAATCTGCAAGATAAGATGACTCTCACCCTCTATTCCCACCCTTCCCCCCAACTTTTTTCCTTTTCTTTATGGAGAAAAATCCTTGAGGTGATTAAGGTATAACTTTGTCAGTTAATATTTGTCAAAGTATATAGTCATACTGTGTAAAGTTAAAGAATTTGTTGGCCATATAAGTATCAAACTGTAGGGGCGCCTGGTGGGCTCAGTCAGTAGAGCATGTGACTCTTGATCTCAGGGTTGTGAGTTCAAGCCCCCTGTTGAGTGTAGAGATTACTTAAAAATGAACATTTTTTTTTAAAGTATCAGCTGAGAGTAACTTTGGAAAAAAGAGATAATCAAATTATGACACCGCTATACTTATAATGAAGAACATACAAGCATTTAAAATTATCACTTTGATTTGATACTCAGTCCACAACTGATATCTGTTATTGTTTTATATATATGTACATATGTATGTATGTATACATACACACACATGTATGTATGTATATGTGTGCATATGTGCACACATGATACATAATAGAATACCTATTATCTGACGCTGTGCAGAGGAGAGCGGATATTCCTGGCAACTGTAGATTTAAAGTGATCTTGCTGTTTATTTTTCTAACGTTAATAGAGAATATCAGCATTCATTTTCTCTTTTTGCATAGATAATTGAAAAGAATATATTCTTTTCTTCAAAAAGAGAAAGGCTTTAAGAATTCTAAAGTTCAAGTTTTTCTCAGAGGGCATCTGACCTGACTCACAGTGGAATTATTACGGACTTCATCTTTACTCTGCATGGACAGTGCCCTGAGACAGAAATCTTCAGCCCAGATTTTCTTCGAGAGGCAGGGCAGGGATTGCAAATGGAGTCCGAATCCAGGAAGAGCCATTACGACCACATTGCTTGTTAGGCATTTCAGTCCTGATAAGAAGAACAGACTCAGAGAATGAATATCCGACTAAAAGAGGGAGGGTAAATGAGAGGCGGTTGTTAACACTTCTTTCTTTTTGACAACAGTAATAATAAATCTCCTTTCTAGTGTTAAAAGCCTGCAATCTGTTCATTCATTTCACAAATATTTTTTTTGAGCATCTGGATTGCAATTACCATGAAGTCCAGCAGGATAACGTGAGACCTCATCACTAGATAGGAATGTGTGTGTACATACATACACCAGTTAGTGTCTGTGTGTGTGTCCACATGTGTTGGTGGCAGGGCAGGAAATTGCCACGGCGGTTCATGAGCAAACTGGAGGGGAAATGAAAGCTTATTCTTATAAGTATATTAACATACATTAACCTGGAAAGTAAATTTAGGTAAAGGAAGTGCAGTACTCCTACATATTATCGATCATGATTACTGTTTTCTTCTCTTTTCTAAAATGGCTTGGGATCGGCATCAACTTTCTGCGTATCAACAAAGAAATTGATTTTGAATTATAAAGTATGTTCCTTATTATAACAGAATTTATTAGATTTAAGGGTTCACTTACTTTTAGTAAGTAGAAAAGCAATTAAAAAAAAAAAAAAACCACTGACACTCCAGGGAGACTTCATAATAAAAAGCCCACACCTCATTATTTTGCCATAACAAAAGTTTTCACTCACTGGAAACGCCAAGCCCTCCAGATCTTCAGCACACTCTGGCATGTTGAAGGATACTCTTATAAATGCAGGAATCTCTAGGAGTACTACCTTTTGGAAAGTAGAAGAGAAAAAGGAATTCCATAATGTGACACAACAAAATCCAACCAAAGGGACACTTTTCTCAAGTCTGCTGTGATATCTGTGCCCTGAACATTTGTGGAGAATCAGCCTATCAGACACTACAAAGTACGTGGAGGTAGATTGACTGTAGGGATATACGAAATCCAGTATCTAGCAACAGAGAAATATAGCAAAAAGCATTGGCGTGTGCTTTCAGGCAAAATAAGTGATTATGTTTTGTACAGACATGTCAGATGCCCAGAGCCTGCCTTAAGGGTTTCAGAACGGTACATTGTTTTCATCCTCTGTTGTAATGTTGGCCCAACAAAATAAAACTCACACACTTAAAGTTTCAGGTTGACTAAGCCCATATGACATTTAACTCATTCAAATAATAACCATCATCAACAACGATGAGGACAATCACCTAGGTCATGATGTTAAAAGACCTTGAAAAAAATTAATAAAATGAAATAAATAAGTTTTCTTCCTCCAAAATAAAAACTATATTCCAGGTGTTAAACTGCTATGGAAATCATAAAAAAAATGTTAATAGGAAAAACACACAACCCATCAATAAAAACCTAAAGCCAAATAATCTTGAGCCAAGAATCAATTGCAAGCCATGATAGAGCTATTGAGGTTTTTTAAAAGTCACTTCCTGAAGAAACAGATATTTGGCATAGAGACGGCCGAGCCTAAAACAATCTTAGTAGGTATGCATAGTTTTTGAATAGATGCTACCAATAGAGGTAGCAGTCAGTAATCCCTCTTACTTTCTCTCTCTCTCTTTCCTCTCTCTCTCCTTCTCTTTCTCTCCCTCCCTGTCTCTCTCTCTCTCTCTTCTTCCCTCCCTCTCTCTCTCCCTTTCTCTCCCTCCCTCCCTTTCTTCTCTCCCTCTCTCACCTTCCCTCTCCCCCATCTCTCTCTCTCTCTCTCTCTCTCTCTCACACACACACACACATGCGTGCACAAGATTGCAAACTAGATTCCCAAATATATTAATCCTTTAAGGTTCTCCTTTCCATTATTCTCTTTCTGCTGAGTTATTTTCCCCACAATTATTTTCTCAAGAGATATTCTTTGAACTAGGCAACCAATGAAATCACATAAATATACACCCACATAGAGAAACACAGACTTTTTTTTGTCCCTCGGTTTTTGCCTCCTACCCATACTGGTTCTCTCTCTAAAGCAGTCTTTTATAATGTTATTCAAATAACAGGCCACCAGAAATGGTTGCCTCTCAGAGCGCACCTGTGTCTTTCATCAACTCTAATGGAAATTCTGGGAGCAGCCTACCGCTGCTAGGTTCAAGAGTCAAAGAGGGGACAGGGTTTTATGAATTTTTCAGATTGCTGGCCAAGAAATATAGTTCATTTCCTACATTATCGACACCATTTAAAAGTGAAGGTCATAATATTTCTGGAACAGAAATTTGGTAACTTTAAAAATAAACAATAGCTTACTTTTATTTCAACACTTTCTCCGGTGTTTAAAAGGAAATACATTATCGAGGCCTTTTGCCAACAATTTTTTGGTAATAAAATAAATAAAAGCTAGTGTGTTGCATAATTCCTTTGCCAGTAAGGAATGAATAAATATAATCTATAATTTCAATACCCTATTCTTTTTTTATTTTTTAAAGATTTTTGTTTATTTATTGGACAGAGAGATACAGCGAGCGAGCGAGGGAACACAAGCAGGGGGAGCGGGAGGGGAAGAAGCAGGCTTCCCGCCGAGCAGGGAGCCCGATGTGGGGCTCGATCCCAGGACCCTGGGATCATGACCTGAGCAGACGCTTAACGACTAGCCGCCCGGGCACCCCTCAATACCCTTTTCAACACTAGTTACAGATTTTCCGCACCACTGGTGGCTTATTTCATCCTCACACAGACAAATGCGTACAAGACAAGCCATTGTCCCCACAGCATTTTCTTATTATCTTGCTGAAATGTGGTGAAATGCATTACAGTTTCAGGTGACTTCAGGAATGTGGAGAAATACTTTGCCCATTCCCTGAGAAAAAGCTTCGTTATTTTCTTCATATGAATTCTGCTCCCAGTGATTGACTCGTGTATTAGCGTTTTGAGACCAAAAACTTTTCAGCAGACCGTTTTTCTAGGGTAAAGCTTTACTTTTCGCAGTCTGTGTTTTCTTCACTCGGTCCCCATTGCCACTGGTTAGAAGGAATAGGGGATTTTGAAAGTTTCTAATCAACAATGGCTACTTGCCTCAATTTGGCTAAGGCATCCTCCTCTGACCAAAGGAAGAATCTTCAAATCACTGATGGCTGGCAGCCCCAAAGGGTGCATAGATGAAGATCCAAGATCAACTTAGGGTATGTTGTGCTGTATATTACTTTACCACATTTCTACTGGGTCAGCTGTGCGGGGAAGCAGTTGGGTGTACTTACAAATAAAGTTTGAAGGTACCTAGATTTCCATGTACCCATTCAGAGATGCAGAGATGATAACCCTGCCTGTGCCTTTTGAAAAGAGCAGCGGTAGTCATCCTACTTAAGGAGAATCACAAGGGCCTTCCTCCCTTTCAGTCACCTCCTCTCCTGGCCATCTCCCGCCATGGACCCACCCAGACCAAAGCCACTGTATACAGAGACAGCGCCCATCCCTAAGACAAGAAATTGTCTTATGTACTGCCACAGTGACCCTGTTTCATTTCCTAAAGATCAGAGACCAACTCCACTTTGGACTGGTGCAACAAATCCCCAGGACAAAATGGCAAAACCGAAAGCGAAGTTTCGTCCTATGTTTAGTCCCAATTATGAGACACAAATCTTGACATACTCCTGCCTGTGCTTGTGACATTTGACAGGTAAGAGTCTCCTCAAGTCGGGGTTATTTATTTTAAGCTATAAATGTGACATCTTGTGGGTTCTTCAATGTCAATGGATATAGCTATTTAAATAAAATTATTATACTGAAGGTAATATTGTGAAAAAATGAGTAAGGCGGGAGCATGACCTCCCAAGATACAGCTTGAGCCTTTAGACTTAGTAACTCCCAGAAACTTAGAAACCCAAGTTTGAGAAACACTGCATTTAAAATTAAAAGTTGTCCTTTAGAGAACCATTCAGCACAAAGTCGTTCGTGAGGACAATGGAATACGCCCAGCACTGACAGCAGCGAGGGGAAAGGGGTAGGGGGTTGTGTCTGTTCTTGCCTTCCTCCTCTCCTCCACTCCTCCTCTCCCATCCTGCTGCTGTCTCCGAGAAGGGGTGCGGTCCCCGTCACTGTCGTTCCTCTAAAATAGCTGTTGTTCACTCTGTTAAGGCAGGTTTTGTCTTGGGTCTCCTTGGTGGAGTTTTTGCAGCCCCCAACGCAGATGCTCTTGCAGCTGACTTCTTTTAAAATCCCCTTTGTGGTTCACACCACACAAACTCCTGTTGAGGTCCCCTGCCCTCCAGAGAGGGACCCGTCTGTTCACTCAAGCACAGCTCGTTCGTCTGTGCAATATCCTCCAGCCCATGAAATCACATACCCTTCCTTCCCAAATGGCATGTTTTTCTGTTGCCCTTCCTCTTTGCGGCGCTGATGGATTAACTCCTGCCAAACTCCGGCCTTTAGAATTCTTAAGGCAAGAGTCATGCAAGAGTCTCTCCACCAGGAGGAGAGAGGAAAACCCACTCACAGGCTCACATGCACTCACATACGTATGTATTCCTGATGTATGTCAAAGAAAACTTCAAGAAATCTTTATTCCTTTTAGACTGTTGGAAATTACCGTCCCTACACTTTATGGATGCAATGAGGATTCTATCACCCACTGTTCTCAGCTGAAATTCTGTGAAAACAGGGAAAGCAACATTCCCTTTCTACTTTACAGGCCTGGAAGTTATCGTAAAGCAAAAATGAGACCGGAATTCTTCATACATAAAGCATTCACTGATACAGAGGAAAAACCATTGGACAAGCAAGAACATCACCATTCACACACTGTCTCCGTGTCTTCCCAGCTGCACTCCTGGGTAAGAGTAGCTTTACCTCAGTAAACTTCCTGTTACTCAGCTAGAAAATGAAAAACACACATATACACATACATCTAGAGTATCTGGGACAGGATATCTAGACTATTTAGAACAATA